AACCGTGTTTCGATGCCCGTGGTGGGCAGAGCATAGATAGCCCATTGTGTAGCTTTGTGCTTAACTTCATACAATTTCTTTTTCCATTTTCAAAGAACGTGTTTAAACACCATAAAGAAAAACGTGTTTAATATTTATTACATGTCAGAGCTTCAATTATACACATATTGCACGGTATTCAAACGTCGAAATAACGAACCGTTTTAAAATTGTATAAACCATACGCAGCATTTAAGCTCCTCAGAAAAAAAAATCATTTTGACATTTTTCATTATCTTTCCAGGATTGAAACTCGGAGTCTCATAACGCTCAGTGTATTGTTACATAAGGTTTCGTTTAGGTTTAGAATACCAAATACCTTTTCAGAAATTTTAATACTCACATACTTTACTTATTTTATTCCGAGGGTTGATTTTCCGAAGTAAACAGTTGTAGATCTTCAGCCACGTGGTGAATTTTGATCCTTCTGTCCGGAAATTGACACTGTTTGAACCAATGTTCTAGAAACTAGTTTAATCAAAACGTTATTACATTAAAGACATCATCAGGCGAAACCTTGGTTGTAATAAACAAAATATTTTTAAAACGCACAATTATCGTTGTTTTCCCCAATTCTGTAATTATGGTGTTTCAAGTGTTGATTATATGGAATGGTATTTTCCTCACTAGATGGCGCATTCTAAGCACAGTCGTCTTGACGATAGAGTTACTATTTACAAATTCTTGGTAGTATATAATTCTGTATTGGTTTTATCAGACTATCGTAGAACATGAAACAATTAAGTTATTTATTAAAACCCAAACTTTGAATTTCCTATGAATGAGTACTAATTTAAAATATGATTCTCGTACTCGTAGAATGTCTACCAAAGGCTTAGTTGTAGGCTTGAGTACTTATGATGCTAAAGTTCGAGGCTCCGCGGCGGGCATAGCGTTGTGTAGTTTTGTACTTAAACGAGATAACATTTTTAATATAAAGCTTCTTACTATAATCTCAAAAAAATAAAATCATTCAGAAGTATGATAAAAATATTGGGATATTTTTTATTTAACAATTATAATTTTTAAAGTCTTACGTCAGTATCTTTGAAAATAGATCTTTTTCACAATTCCAAATGTGAATTATATTTCAAAAAATGATTCACGCGTTGCCTAGCAGTCAGCGTTGTCGAGCTGCGTATCGAAGGGTCCAAGGCTCGAGCCGTGATGCTGCTAAACAGGCTCCGCATTTTCAGCTATTGATGCATTATAAAAGTGATTTTGTTATTTGGTTTAAAAAGCTGGATATAGCTCTTGTGGCGGCAGATGTTACTGATTGGCCATCCTCCTTTCCTTTAGTCAGTAGCCCAATATTAAGGAGTGTTGTAACTAAATCCTGTTTCTGACTTGGAGGGCCTGGGATGGCCTAGTGGTTAGGGTGCTCGGCTCGCAATCTGTGGGTTGCGGGTTCGAAGCCCATCACCGAATATACCGAGGACTTTAAAAGAGTAGCTCAAAAAGATGGCAGTGGATGGTGTTGACTAGCCATCTATCAGTGTTAAATTATGGACGAATAGCGCAGACAGTAGCTTTGCGTGAAATTCAATAAACAAACAAACACAGCCAATGATCAACACAGTACAAGCCACTTTTTAAACAAGTATTCGTTTGGTTTCGCGCAGAGCTACTCGAGGGCTGTTTGAGCTACCTATCCTTAATTTAGCTACTCCTGGGCTACTCTTTTACAAATGAATAGTGGGTTTGATCGTTACACCATGACGCCTCCTCGTCTAAAAAAGGGCAAGCATTTTCGATGACGAGGACTCGAATTCGCGAATCCATGCCAGGCCTTTTTTATATATACACCTGTTTCCCAGAGGGAAAAGGTTAGTTTCCTGTACTAACCAAGAATAAGGTGAATTTGCCTTCTTAGAAATTATCTAAAAGCAGGATAAAAACGTTGTTTGAATCAAGAAAAACAAGTTGTCGTGCTTGAAAGAGCAAGTGGCGATTTAAATCTTTAATTACTTTCTTAATACTACAGAACTACCTAAAAGTACAGTACTAAATTTAAATATACCATCTACGGAACTAGAAGAAACAGACTAATATTCGTCCCAATACATGACAAAAATACCTACACTAGATACAGCTACAACCTACAAGAAAAAGCTACACAAGGGACAACTCCACTAGCTGTCCCAAATGTTGATCTGATAAACAAGATGGAAGGCATCAAGTTAACACAAGCCACTACCAGCTCTTACGCTAATTGAATAGTGGA